CTGCTGGAATATTGTAGCCACACTCTTCAAAAAATATATTGAAAATTTGGAAAATCATTCAGAAAAGATACAAAAATTATTTGAGGTCTGGAAAACATGACTTATAACAAATGGCAACTGACTTTCTGTGTGCCCAGTTTGAGACAATCAGATCCTGATTTTGAGGAGCGCGGTGTACTCCAGTTGAAGTCAATGATAACTGTAGGTGCTCAGCATCTCTGAAATATTAAGCTCTTGATGTTTTAAGTTGGGCAGCACAAAACAGTAGACACTTGAAATTTTTGGTTTTTATTTCTGTGGCCTTGATTAAATTCAGACATTTCACTGGTTTAACTTAAAATCAGTTTTTAAACCCATTGAGTTAAACTGTTGGGTGTTTGTGTGTAGACACTTAATCTGGTTTTAAAAAAAAGCTTCAACTGAAATAAACAACTATTGAACCAAAATAGTATTGGCATGGCATGGCTCCCACCTGAGGTGCCTTCTTGCAGCAGGCCACGCCACGATAGGCAAACCTGCCTCAGCTTCCTTCCTTTGGAGGCCCCGGTAACTCCATGACCGCTCCCTTGCATAATAATACACTTCCTTGGGCCAGTTTATTATAAAAATGTAGTGCAAAATAGTCCATAACAAGTCCGTAAATATAGTTCATTTATCACTGTCTGCAAATGTGCATGGCATGTAGTCTTTAAAATCCAACACCTTCTAGTCCATCCACAAGTGCATATCATTCTCCTGTGTCTTTCCACCACACCCAAGCTCTTTGATCCCCTCCTGTCCTTTTACCAGGACAGCCACCCCAGCCCTTCCAGCTTGAGTGCAACCCTTCTCTTCCCAGCAGGAACCCCCACAGCTTCCCTGCTGGGAGTTCATCCTCACTAAGGAAGCATCCCTAACTGCCCCTGACTCTCTCATTGTTCCCCTAGATGCAGCTCTCCAGTTTGGAGACTTGAGCAGGTAAGCCCCTGTGCTGTTCCCCTGTCTTTCCAGCCCTCAGTGTTGGCTTTTAGCCTTAGAAGTCAGCAAGCAATTCCCTCGTGCTGTTCTGCTACCTTCAGCCCTCTGGCTCCTCTTCTCTTGACTGACTCAGGCAGTTCTTACCTGCTCCTTTTCCTGACTGACTCAGGCAGCTCTTAGCTGACCCATTTCCTCACTGGGCCTTCTGTCTCAGTCTGTATCCATTTATATGGCTCAGGTGCCTTTTCCTAAAACCCAATTAGCAGTCAGCTGACAATCACAATTGCACTGGCCTCTACCCTCTTAAAGGGCCAGTGTCATCTTGCGAGGAAGCATCTATACACAAGCTTGCACCAGTTTAACTAATCTGATTTAAAAACATAGTTAATTATGAGTATAATTTTTTGTGTGTGAAGTTCCCTATCTGTAAAATGTGGATAAAACATCTCTCTCTCTGTTAGGGTGCTAGAAAGTTGAATTCAACAATGAACGTGGGGCGCTCAGTATTATGGTGATGAATGCAAGACAAGTGTTTATGAGGAAATAATAAATTCTGTGTTCAGTGCAGTGAATGATGAGAGGATAAAAGAAAATCCTGAACGAATGCCTTATTCTCTGAGCACTGTCCATCTTATGCCCTGTATGTGCACAGGGTCCTGTGGAAAAAAAAATGTGATTGGGGCCTTTGGGCATCACTGAAATAATAGTAATAACAATAAAGTGCACCCTTTTATAAAACTCAGGAGGTGTATACATAATTTACACACATACAAACAACTTCACCTCTGTTGTAATAGAGACATCCCCTTACAAACCCCCCCCTTCTTCCTACCCAACTGCCCTCTGAGAAATGCCTGCAAAATGAAATGAATCCTGCAGTGGGCATTGAAGGCCTGTAATGTTGGGCTCTGTCAGACCAACAAGAGGACCGACTTTCAGAGTTGAGTCCTCTGTCGTCAATGCCTAGGCACCAGCCTTTAATGTTTAAATCTAGGGCCTGTTAGTTTGAGCACCTCAGATATTATGACAGAGGATAATGATCCATTCCAATATATGGAAAACAAATTTTACCCCAATATATTTAAATTACTACTGGGTATAGTGAGTTTAATCCTTAAAACAGATTACTATTCAAAAAAGGCTGGGTAAAACTTCATTAAAAAGAAACTTAAAAAATAACTTATCTGAAACTTAAAACTTAATGTACATATAAAATGTACTGGGGTCTAAAATAACCCTTTGCTGATAAATTGGTACCTTAGTCTGGAATACAAACACTTCCTGGAATGAGTAAACTATCTAAATGCTAATAATCTCTTCAAAAAGAATTGAGTTTAGACTAAGCAGGGAAATGTCTGTTTTAGGAATACTCGACAGAATGTTTAGATGTTAATTGCGTATTCACTAGACTCTTTGATGTGAGCAAGTAAGCCTTAATATACAATTACTCTTTGAAAAGGAAACTCCATTGGAAAGTATGGATTTGTGTGTTCTTAAACCCCCACTCAGTCCTCAAGATCATAATTAAGTTGATGTCTTATGGGCTTTCTTTTGTAGACACTGCAGTTAATAAGGGATGAAGGGTTTGGGGTGCAGGAGGGTGCTCTGGGGCTACGGCGGGGAGAGAGGACTCCCCCCAGCACTCTCTCCCCACAGCAGCACCTGGGCTGTGGGGGAGAGGCACCTCTCCCCTCCGTGGGAGCTCTGGGGCTGCAGGATAGGTGCCCTTCCCCCAGCCCCAGCAGGTCTGGGCCGGGGGAGGGCCGCTGTGACCGCCGCGCCTGGGTCGGGCTGCGCCGTGCCTGGGGCCGGGCCACTCCAGGGTTGGGCTACTCTGGCTATGCCGCAGGCTGAGTTGGGGGCCGGGGGAGGGGCTCCCCTCCCATGGTCGGTTGGGGGCTAGGGAAGGGGTGCCCCTCCCCTGGCCGCGGCAGGTCCCTGGGCGGGTTCCCTGAGCGCCTGCGCGGTGCTAAATAGGCTGCTTCACAGCAACGCAGCTTATAGGGAACTTAAGTTACAATAATCATAGGGGTCACTTGTAACTATACTGTGTACAACATTTTCAGACAGTGATATTTTTTTTCGAGTTGGTGTCCATCAAATGTGTAAATTAGCATTAAAGCAAGAAAAAAGAGAAGTGGAAGAGGATAAAGAAAGGAGAAATCTTTTAAAAGGCCTTTTTCCAAGACATGCTCACCAAGTACAATACTAGAGATGGTTAAGTCTTTGAACATGTCTTATTACTGCTGGTATATACTTATACCCAATGTATACAGCGTAGAAAGGCTGAGAAATCAGGAATTTCCAAAAGTTGTTTCCACTGAATCATTAAACTTTACATAGTAATTTGTGTATTTTATGTAACATTAATAGTAATAAGGCCTTGCATTTAATAAGGATATGAGAAATAGAAAGTACTGCCTTTATGCAATGTAGTAGAAGTAACTTCTCTGTAGAAAACTTATGTTGAATTTCAAAAAAAATTTTGTAGTGTTTGATTTCTTTGCAACTTACAAATAAAAATGAATGTTAATTTATTTTTTAAGGCAAATGGTGAGATCAGATTCTATTGTATGTAATTGTAATAACCCCAGTCATGCATAGCATTTGAAGCCTTGGCCTTCATCGCTGCAGCACAAATTGCTACGACTTGAACTACAGAATTAACTGTGTTAGCTGGCATCAGCAGAAAGCTGTGATCCAGGAGGCTGGGATAGATTGCTGGGGCCAGGTGTTAGGTTTGAGTGGTGGTTGCCCAGCCCATTTCTCTTTGTCTCCCTGCACCCCACATGAATTGAAGGAGCTGCTGCCCCATGTGGGAGAGATGGCCCTTCGTGTGCCATCCCCACACACAAAGCTACCTTGGCACCTCCCATCCCCTCCTTTGGTGACAGCACAGGCTTGGCCATAAATCAGAACGTTCATGTTTGGTTATTATTTTGGCATGCTTCCAGGATTTTCCTTAAGAATGCGAGCAAGAAAAGGGAAATTGAACTTTTCAACAGTTTATATCTCCGCCAAACCTGAATAGAATTGGATGGGTCCAAGAAAAGACATTTCTATTCCTAATGGGGCCCCCCTGCTGAATTTCAAGGGCCTGCTCCAAAAAATGGAGGTGTTCGAGCTTCTCCCAAAAAAAGACTCAAGAATCTCTTATAATGGGAAGTATTTTGAAATCTAAATGTAGGGATCTCTGTCTAACCCCCTTTAGTGAAGTTAAAGTGCAGGATTATATCATCTACCCACTCTTACGGAAATAATAGTAAAAGTTAAAATTCAGTATTATGGCTTCATTAGAGGGTTAATTGGAGGCAAACAACTGAAATGGAGAGAACTTGTTTTAGTGCACATTTTGCTCATGAGGGGGAGTGTTAAAGGAAATGACTGTGTGTAAATTCTCATTAGTCTGAAAATCTCAGTATTGAAAGTATGGGGGTGGGGGGAAGAGATACCTTGGTCGTATTTGACATGTATCCCTTACTCTGTCTTCTACTACACTTCAGCATAGTGCTAGAATACATGCATTTATGTAGTTTTATTCCAGACGTCAAACTTTGTATAACTAATGAGCAGGAATATATGCAATAAGATACTATTTCCCAGACCAAGTTTTATAAAGGTGAACTTTGCATAGGAAGGATGAAGAAAAGAATAAGGGGGAAGCAACTATTCTTCCTTTTTCCTAGGTTCTTTTTGAGTAGATCTTGTGTGAAATAAGTAACTTTACAAATTTGTATGCAATATAAATATTTCAGAAAAAATGTGAAGAATTTAATGCATTAGTTTACTGTTTTTCCCTGTAGGTGATCTATGGGAGAACCCTTATGCACATGCCATTTATGACCATAGCCCTAGAATTTGTAGCTGTTCTTTATGACTGCATAAAATTAAAGTTCTGTTATAAACTTGGACTTCACTTCATATGTCTGATTTCTTTACACTTAATTTTTGACGCTGTGTAACGTGTTTAAATATTTGTGAAGTGCTACGGGCAAGCTGAAATTATTTCCTTAACTACAGTATTCCTTGCTATCTTGATCTAGGTTGTTGGAAGAGGAGCCTTTGGTGTGGTCTGCAAGGCAAAATGGCGAGGAAAAGATGTAGCCATTAAACAAATAGAAAGTGAATCTGAAAGAAAGGCCTTCATTGTGGAGGTACAGTAAGCTTGCTTGAAAAGAAGTTATGGGATTTAGTATGTTCTCAGTCCCCCACCCCCCACTAGTAATGTGGTATGGCTTTTCCACTGACATACCCCGCCTCCAGCCATGCGTCCTCCACCAGAACTTGTAAGAGGGTCCTCGGAGAATGGCCTGTGGCTGTCTTCCCCAGTTCCTGCACTGAAGGAATTCTTCCCTGCCAGATCTGGGGTATTTAGAGCTTCTTTATGCCACTCCAGCCCTTTTAATCCGTGTAGAGACACCAAAGAGGGAGTGAGAATCTCATCCAGTGTCGGTTAACATTGGGGGAGGGGTCATGCTATGAAAAAGTTTGGTTTATGTTTCCATTAATGTAGTAGTTTATTTTTAATTAAAATTGTAAAAATCTAGAAAATACATGTAACCTATTTATTTGAGAACAAATCCCTTATTTTCTCCATTCCACCTACTTTTTTTTTTTTTTTTTTTTTTTTTTTTTTTTTTTTTTTTTTTTTTTTGTGTTAAGATATAGGCATTTAGCCTCTCACATAATTCGTACTTTTCCTAAAGGAGAGACAACATTCTAGGATTGAATGTTGATACTATGTAACTTCAATGAACTTCATTATGCCGTAGTTCTGTTTGTTTGCATTTAAAACACAGTAGAGGAAAATCTAGGATGCCCAGGATATATGGAGTAAAATAAGAATAAATCTCTAAAGTGTTACAGTTCCTTTAACCATACTATTTTGTGACTAAAAATGTATTTATAATACATCTCTCTGTTAATAGAATATTTATACTGTGCTCATTGCCATGTTATGTGAGTGCAGAATAACATTCACATAAATCTAAACATGGTTGAATGGTAATTCGTCTTGGTTGGGCTTTATGTGAGAGAGAATCTAAGAAAGAAAATCCTCAGAAATTATTTTGAATTGGGTTCAAGATATTACATTTTGAGTTCTTGCACTGTGTAGATTCAGTTCTGTTCTAATATCACTTCAGACTATATATAAAGAATTTCTAGGAACATAAGGTCATGTGCCCTATCGATTGGATAGTGAAATTCAGAGGGTACTATTAAAAACTCCCTGAAAAGTCTGTGAAAGCCAAAACTTTCCACTTGGTTTGATTTTCTGCCAACTTGCAAAATAAAAAATGGTTCTTAATTTCTTGAGTGGGTGTATCCACATATGCCTACTATCAATTACTACAAGCAATTTTTTCTCATAACTGGATGGCATAAATGTTAACTTGTAGAATTTATTTTATAGTTCATTTTTGTGGACATTAGTTCTCTTTAACACAAAAGGGAGTATTTTTCCCATAAGATTTTCTGTAGTGATTCAGACCATTTGTCTCTGAAGTCAGGTATCCTTGCCTCCAACTTTGGCCAATAAACAATGCTACAGAAGTATTGCAAAATCCTCAGAATGCCATATTTAGTTGTGCAATGCTGTACTTGGAAAGTGGATGATCTGCTTGTTCATCAGCTTACACTCTGGCCTTGAAGCATGTGACTTAATTATGTTCTTAACATGCATAATTAAAAATTTGATTTGAGTCATAACATTTTCTGACCCATTTTAATAGGTCTGCCTGGCTAATATAATCTGTTACAAGACAGGGGAGTGCTATTATCTCCATTTTACAGATGGGGACCTGAGGCACAGGAAAACTGTGATTTGTCTTTCCAAGGTCATGCACGAAGTCTGTGGCAGAGCCAGGGTCCCAGGTTCTAGGCTAGTGCCCTAAGCATTGGATTTTCAGAGGATGGTCCAGTTTTAAAATCCAGGCACAGTATGTGACATAAATTTGTTAGTTTACAACCTAATTTAATTCTCTAAGACATCAACTTTTCACCCTAACTAACCATGCTATGTAAATAATTTTGTGTTCATTTAATTGTTAACTCTGTATATGAAACTAAATGGTAACTTGAAGTATTTTGTGGTTGGAAAAAAAGTGGTGAACTTTTGTGTTGCAGCTTCGACAGTTGTCACGTGTGAACCATCCTAATATTGTCAAGTTATATGGAGCCTGTCTGAATCCAGTAAGTTGTAATCCTCCACCTTTTGTCACCCCAGTAACGCTCACTATAATCAAGCAATAATGCAAGAAATACGTTCAGCCAATATACCCACCTTAGTATTGTATCTCTAAAATGGTTGCTGGTTTTCTTATTAATGGGTTGATTTTTCTAAACATTAATTTTTTACTTGAACCAAAGTGTAGCCTCCAAAAACCTATTCACACTTCATCTTGTCCATTTGCTCTCCCTATGCTGATTTTTTTTGATTGCAAAGAAATTAGTGTGGTATATATCAGGGCCGCCCAGAGAATTCAGGGGGCCTGGGGCAAAGCGGGGGAGCTGCAGCGTTTGTACTCATCCGTCGGCGGTCCGGGTCTTGGGCGGCATTTCGGTGGCGGGGGGCCCTTCGACAGCACTGAATGGCTCCCCACCGCCGAAGTCCTGGAGCGACTGAAGGGGACCCCCCGGCGCTGAAATGCCGCTGAAGACCCGGACCGCCGCCGGGCGAGGGCTCGCGGGGCATTTCGGCGGCAGGGGGCCCTTCAGTCGCTCCGTGTCTTCGGCAGCACTGAAGGGCCCCCAGCCGCTGAAGACCCGGACTGCCACCAGGCCAGGGATCGCGGGGCCCAGGGCCTGGGGCAAATTGCCCCACTTCCCCTCCCCATCCCCCGCGGGTGGCCCTGGTGTGTGTGTGTGTGTATGTATATGTAACTTCGCTTGTGTGCAGTCCCCATATTGATTCCAAATCAGCACTACAAAAAATGATTTATTTACAAATGACACACACGATTGAAAATCAATTCCTTTACACTTACCTGCCAAGGTCAGGATTCTGTTTTTGCCCTGCAACATCTGATAACCCTACAAATGCCTCAGGTGATGCAGCGAGTACTGTAGCAGGACAAATGGTAGGCTAACGTAGACATATATTATTAGTGGCCTGGGATATTAAATTGGTTAAAATAATAATTTATTCTGGTCTAATAAAAATTGGCAATTTTAGTTAATTTTTTCTAATCCACTCTTAAGTAAATCCATTCTAACTTTTAATCTGAAGGCAATCTTAGACTTAAGGGGGTATACAGTGATGCATTCTCCTCTTTGCTATCCTTTAATAGGATCTAAGCATCAATTTAATTCTGCATCTGATAGATCAATGTATCAATTATGGACACTTTGCAGTTCCTCTCAAAGAACTTTCCTTTCAAATTACAAAACCTAGGGTTACCATACGTCCAGTTTTTCCCGGACATGTCCGGCTTTTTGGTAATCAAACCCCAGCCCGGGGGGAATTGCCAAAAAGCCGAACATTTCCGGGAAAATACC